AATCAGTTTTAAATGCCTCCATTGTTGCTACTGTTGTTTGTGTTTATTGTTAATGCAAAAATTAGAACATTCAGAGGAAAAAAACACAATGCAAATGTGGAACATGGAACCTTAAATGGAGATAAATGGATTTATTAATATAGATAAATTGAGTTATTGTTTACACACTAATTGTGTTATTGTTGTCGTGTTGTTGGATGTCAATTGGAAACTAATTGAATGTTTTCATTTAATATACCCAGGTTCATTTTCAGAAATTTACACAATAAAGAGGTGCGACAGCCAGTCAGAGACCAGAACCCATCTGTTGAAACACACACACACACTGAAACACATGCACACAGTCTCACAGACACACACACTCACATTCACAGACACATAGTCTAAAACACAGCTTTAGGGTCACACACACTCTCATGCACACACTGTCACACAATCACACTATCTCTCTCTCTCTCTCTCTCTCTCTCTCTCTCTCTCTCTCTCATTCTGTCGTCTCCTATGCTCTCCTTTGTCCTGTCTGAAAGCTGATGTAAGTGGGTCTTTAGATGCCGTGTGTTGCGGGGGGTGGGGTGGCGGGTAGTTTTAGAGGGGATTTAGAGTTGAGGATAGTTTTTGGTGGGGGCAGTAGAGCAGTTGTTTGATTTCTCTCTATGGCAACCAGCAGTGGGGCTGAAAAAATCCTAAGACCTCCCCCACTCTGGATGATACTGCTGCCTTCAGCATGGACACTGGTCAGTTCTTTGTTACATAGTTTAAAAATGAAAGAATAAAAACATTTATTGGGTTTTTAAAATATATAAATGCAGTATGTTCAAAAGTCAGAGATCACCTTTCGTTTATTTAATTTCTGGTCAAACCAGCCATTAACTGGAGTTAATGAATAGAGAAAATGAGACAACCGTCTCAAGACCTGGTAGATCACCAAAGTTGTCACCATCAGATAAACAATACTGAAAATTTTCATCTTTGAGAGATAGCAGAAAATTAAGCTTCAGATCTAACAAAAATCTACAGGTGTTTCTGTCGATCCTTCCACTAGGTAAAGACCCCAAAGACACTGAAAGGATGTGTAGCTGTCAAGAAGCCCTTACTAAGCAAAGGAAATAGACAAAAAAAGAACATTAGCAAATGAAGCAAAGAAGGTGATGGTGTTATCACAACAGTGGACAGACCACCATAAAGTCCAGGCCTGTGTTTGTGATTACTTGGCTTGTGAGAAGCAGAAACACAACCAATTTCTTACACTGAACTTTGCAGGTGTGGAAAAATATCCCTGCAGATTTCTTGAACGGAAACTGTAATAAAGGCAAAGTGTGGACACTTAATAAATACAGAAAGAAATCTGTTCTGTAGCCTCTTTGTAAAATAAGAGAGGTTTGTTTTGTACATTCACAGAAGGGTAGGAATCTGGGTGTGATGCGACATTTGCCTGAACATTAATTTTTTGATGGGCAGTTATTTTCCATGACCAAATCATACAGCTTCTATGCAAATACAGTTACACAATCAAATTTCTGGTAGTCTAGTTTCAGAAGGCCATTACACAGTCCTGCAAGCAAAAAAGTACCTGAAAACATCAGTTTCAGGGGGAACAAGTGATGTTTTATTGCAGCATTGAGACTTCAATTACAACTTCGACATCAGCACAAACACATCTGAGATACTGTGGATTCAATGGAGCATAATCTGTCTGCTCTTTTCATTCTGCTTTGACTTTTTCAATAAAATCCTAACATATCACTGTGGGTAATAGTCCTAATCTAATAAATTAGGCCTTTAAGCTTAATATAGACAGCCTGCGGCAATCACACACTCATTTCAAATTCAAAATTCACCAGAAAACTCAACAGATCGGCATGAGCCAAGACAACAGTCATTAATGAGGAAAATAGTGCAGATGACAAAATGATATTCTCTGAATAATTCCTCTCAGATTTATATTAATAGACGTGCACTTTGACAATCAATTTCATCTGTTTTTTATTAGTTTGGTAGTTTAGTTTAGGAGTTTAGTAACATAAAGGAACTCCCTGTCAGTTTAGCCAGGTGGGCAAACTTTGCCACATCGTCCAAGTGGGCTAGCACAGTTCCACAATGACACAGGTGAACACAGTTGTTAATCTTCTTTAAGGTGTAGGAAGCAAAGTGATATGACAGCAAGCAAATCTCTGTTAAAGCTACACTTTGGGGAAAATTTGGGGAATTGGTTGATTAGCCTCAAAGCGGAAAAGGCTGTATGTGTTTTGAAGGCATTAGAAGCCACTTCTTCCTGGGACAGGTCTAAAAGAACATATTATATCCACTAATCAGTAAGGTGTGACTACAAGTATTTTAAACAGTTTTTTTACAGAGGGACCACAGTTTGAACTAGAATGGTCCATTTACTTACAGATGAGGTCTCAGACCTCTCTGGTGGAAATATGTAATTGCATGAAATGTGCGGAAGAACATTTTGTAACATGGGTCGTGTGCAGTCCTCTTCTCCAAGTGGATTAATGTGAACTGCTGTTTTTAATAACTGAAGGGAAAACTATGGATATTTCACTTGCTTCACCACAGATACCTAATAGCTAACTAACATTAATATTAATACGACAGCTGGATATGTGTCCATTACTTATGTAACCCTCCTCTCAATCAGATATTTATTTATTTATGTTAGCAAAGTAAATTTATATTGCTTGCGTTTGCAAAAGGAGACAGATGGTAGCGCTGGAAATGATCTAAAGCTGGATCTAAATCTGAGCTGGAAATGGCTAGCCTCGTTCATCAAAAAATAGAGGATGGACAGTAATTGGCTAATATTAGCGAAATAGCCAGTTAAAATTAGCTACTCAGCTAAAACAACTTCACAATTACAAGTTTCCCAAAAAGAAAACAAACTCTGAGGAAAAAAGACGCCATTAGCTAAGTATTCATGTAATATTAGCAAATTGGCCAGCTAATAGCTATATAGCTATATAGCTAAAACGACTTCACAATTACAGAGGTACACTGCATTACGTTATTTATCTGTCCATCAATAAAAAAGCCAATTCAGCATCACTCATAAGTCCCTTCAGGTGATGGAGCTGTTGCCATCTCTGAAAAGCCAAGCCAATGTTGATTCTGGTCTTAGCTTGAGCTCTGTTACCTTGTCAAAATGTCTTACCGTAGCACATATTTATAGATAGCTCCCTACACAAAACCTCTAGGTAGCATATTTTGATACCCTAAATCAACTTATCCAAAAAATAATAAATACTATGAGCATTTAAATTACAAAGCTGAAGTCAGCCTATTATTCGCCAGCTTCTTGTTCAAATTTTAAATGATGCAGCAGTGATTATAATGCCCTGAGGCACCAGAACATAAATGCTGCACCTTTTAAGGTAGAATGGGAAAATGTAGTACTATTAAACTGAGTCTGGACTGAATTAACATTAACAACGCAATAAAAAAAATCAAAACACTGAGTTAAACACTGTGAGCCCAAACATGTTCACATAACTTAAAAATTTAAGATATCCCATTGCCCTAAAAAAATAGGTTAAGCATTGGTGAACAAACCAGCAAGTATATGTGTGAAAATTGCTGCATCAGTAATTCAAATGAACTCTGTAAAGCACTGCCTGGTATTACCTGTATTTTAAACAGTGCATAAGTTACTTCGAAAGTAACTGTTACATTACTGAAATTTAACTTAGGGTGGGAGCTGCTTGTTTAACCCCTAAATCTCTTTAAACATACACTTGTGACATCTACAGTTTGTCTGAGCGTTCTTGCACTTGCATGCATGAGGTCTCAGTGTAGCATGTTCAAAAAATGTTTTGGCTTGTGTTTGGGTTATGTGTTCTCTAGCGTTTATTGCACGTGGTTGTTTTGCTATGGACTCTTATTGTAGAGGGCAGGGCTAGGAACCGGATGTGTGTATATATAGGTGTGTGTGTGTGAACTGAGAGAGAGAGATAGAGAAGGGAAGCTGAGCAGCGAAGAAGCTGTTAGAGAATAACTCCATTTATGTACGGCGTGGCTGTGACCGACAACAGCTGGGAACAAAGCGCCATGACTTGTGTGAAAGCGGTACCTTTTTCAATAGTGGTGAACACTACAATACATAAGCTCACAATAACTGGCCAACAACGCAACCAGCCCACCAGGAATTCTCTCCACTCTCTTGGTTACCCACTTCAGCATTGCCTTCAGCTCATTTTAAATTTATTATCTGCCAGTTTAGTTTGCTAGGCTAAGTAATGCTATCCACCTCTACTAGCATAGATCATAATAAGGTAGATTAACAGTGTAGTTTTGTATATAGGTGTGGGTAACGCTCACTAGTATTTATATTTCTTGTAGATGTGAATCAGAGATAGATCGCAAACAAATGACACACGCAAATCTGTAAAGCAACAACTTCACTGAGATCGGTGGATGAGACCCAATCAGTGCAAAATAAAACCAGTAATACTAAAATAACTGTTCCATCTCTGCAGTGCATGACAATGCAATCAGATGCATTGCAGATAACGGTAGCAGCAACAAGTATATACCACTGAGCAAAAGCTGTGCTTTTTTAGTATATAATGTTTTTTTTTTTCAGCAAAATCAAGTAATAATGTCTCTGTGGCTCTGTAACTGCTCTATTTTTCCAAACTCAAATATTCTCTGTTATAAACAGTGTTAACAAAATCCCTACACAGGCTGACCGCACTGCTGCTTATAGACACCCTGTACTTCAGGTCAAAATAGGCTAAACAATAAACTGATGCTGTACATTCAGCTGTGGGCAAAGTGATGGGTAGTGGTCTGCGGTGTGTATGTGCGCGCGGGCAGTCTCCAGCAGAGACACTTCCCCCCACCCTCTGTCCGTCACTGGGTTTCCCTCCAATGGTCCCTTGTTGTGGGCGTTGCCGCGTTGCGCGTGCGCGCTCCCGCGCGCTGTGTTCCCGGGGTTTTTGGCGGCGGTGCTGCGCTGCTGCTGCTGCAGAGACGCGCGCGGCGCCGTGGCGGAGGGACCGATGGCCGCCTACAGCCTCCCGCCCTCCGCCATGCAGCAGCAGCAGCAGCAGCAGCACGACCCACCGTACCGGCACGCGCACGGCCTGCTGCTGCACGGCGACTACGGCGGAGTTGGCGGCGGCGGAGTTGGCGGTGTTGGCGGGCACGCGCTCAGCCACGCGCACCAGTGGCTCACGGCGGCGCTGGCGGCGCACGGGGACGCGTGGTCGAGCGGAGAGCGCGAGGTCAAACCCGCGGTGCAGAGCGCGCGGGAAGAGAGCGGCAACAGCAACGGCAGCACGGGCAACAGCAACAATACAAGCAGCAACGCAGGCAGCAACCTGCAGCAGCAGCTGGTGCATCACGCGCACCACAACAACGGCAACAGCAACCACGACGGGAGCGCGTGGAGGACGAGCGCCAACGGGCACGATCTCGTGTACTCGCAATCCGGGTTCGGCATGCACCACCAGCACGAGCACCAGCAGCAGCAGCAGCACGAGCAGCACCATCACCACCAGCACGAGGACCATCAGCACGCGCACCACGCGCTCCAGCAGCACCAACAGCATCAGCTCGAGTCCACGAGCGGCAGCGGCGGCGTCTCGGACGAGGACGTGCCCACGTCAGACGACTTGGAGCAGTTCGCGCGCCAGTTCAAGCAGCGCCGCATCAAGCTGGGCTTCACGCAGGCGGACGTGGGGCTCGCACTGGGCACGCTCTACGGCAACGTGTTCTCGCAGACAACCATCTGCCGCTTCGAGGCGCTGCAGCTCAGCTTTAAGAACATGTGCAAGCTCAAGCCGCTGCTGGGCAAGTGGCTCGAGGAGGCGGACTGCGGCGCGAGCGGCCCCGCGGGGCTCGACAAGCTCGCGGCGCACGGACGCAAGCGCAAGAAGCGCACGAGCATCGAGGTGAGCGTAAAAGGCGCGCTCGAGAGCCACTTCCTCAAATGCCCCAAACCCGCAGCGGCGGAGATCACGAGCCTGGCGGACAGCCTGCGGCTCGAGAAAGAGGTGGTGCGCGTGTGGTTCTGCAACCGCAGGCAGAAGGAGAAGCGCATGACCCCGCCCGTGGGGGGGCAGTGAGTAAACAAACAAACAAACAAACGAGCAAAATCAGAGAGAATAAACTCTGACGGATTAAACAAAAGCAGCAGCAGTGGTGGAGAGGGATCAGAGCTCGCTCGCGCGCGCGCGCGCACTCGGCGCAGCGTTGGGAGAGCGCGCGGCGCGGCTCGGTGCGAAGGACAGAGCGCGTGGAGTAAAAAACAAAAAAAGGTGCGTTAACCGGAAACGGAGGAGCCCTGCTGCTGCACGCGCTGGGGTTACAGCAGCACGGGACTGCATTACTGTTGTTATTATTATTATTATTATTATTATTACTATTATTATTTTGTTCTGGTGTGAGTGTGTAATCCTCATTGAGTTCTCGCTGCAGTTTCATGCTTTCTTATTTTAATCTCATACAGCTTTTTAAACCCCCTAGAACGGAACAAAATTTATTTCTATTCATCAGTATTATTAATGAGGAGAGAGCGCGAGCTTTAACAAAAACAAAAAACAAAAACATAATCTAAAGCATATTTAATAATTCCCTTAAACCAGAGTCAAAGAACACAATCGTTTTTTATCACACTGTTCGGTAGCACGTTTTCTTTTATTTTATTTCGTTAATTTGTATGACATTTGAACAATCTAGTCTTTAATAATCATGTTTTTTATTTAAAAATGTTTTCGTCTTTATTCACGTTTTTGTTATTATTTTTGCAACCCTTGTTTTTGTAGCTGTGCACTAAAACCCCAACTATCAGCACTATTTATACTGCAGCAATTTAATTATATCAAATATCTCTGCTTTTAAAATCCTTTTAAACTCAGTCTTTCCGCAGTGCTGCAGAATATTCACACTCAGATCTCTGTATTTATATTTATGAAAGCATATCAAACGAAATTACTAACATTATTATTATTATTATTATTATTATTATTTGCTGTCTTCAGTTAATTCAGCTTTCAAAGATGTTTCATGTGTAGTGAGAGCGATGGAGAGATTTTATTATGTGATTTTTTTTAGCTGCAAGCCTCTTTCTCTACAGGACTCCAGTATGTATATACCACTACAAAGCTGAGATTATTTTACTTTTTTATATCTTTTATTTCCCACACAAGCCCAGGGCATTTGGTCCCTGTCCTTTTGAGAGCAGAAAAATGGACATGATTTGACGTAAACTTGTTTTTTTGCTGTTGTAGCTTTAAATCCCCCCTGTCCTGTGGATGGATTTATTGTTTTATTTTATTTCCTGTCATTATCAGCCTTTGGTCTGGATGGGTTTGTGTAATAAAATCTCAGAGGTTGGGACATCAAGGCCTCAATTTATTCACCTTATCTGGGGAAATTTAAACAGAATCAGTCAAAAATGCCACCAAACTGTTTAAGAAGGATCTTTATTTAAATCTGTATGTAACCCTTTAACAGGCTGTGTAAATAAGGGTTTTAGCTCCATAGTACTGCATTATTTAAGTGGAGAGCACAGAAAGAACGGCATTGTGCTGTTTTTTTTAGCTGCTCTTGTGTGTTTAGTAGATTTTTCTATCAGACCCAGTTTTGCTTCTGCATTCAGAATTCTGTCCTGGTGTATTTACATTCATTCTCCTCAGAACATAAAGTGAATTTGAGTTTGAGGCACTACAACTTTTAGAATAGTTACACAATGAAAAGGCTGTTCTATTCTATTCTATTCTATTCTATTCTATATTTAAACCAAATTACAAAATGAGTTGTACAGTGCAAAAACCTTTTACGTTTTACAGCAAGATGCATCACTTGCTAATATGGTTGAGAATCATATTGTGTTACTAATCATAATTAATATAACTACTAATCATCCTGTTGGTTGGATATTATATTGAGCTGCATTATTTTAAAAGCTTGGGAAGATTAATATAATGGGAATTTAGGGCAACATGTTTATCATTTTATAAAACAGCCTTTTATTGTCTAATTTATTATTGTTTTAATGTGCAAAATCTTTTTTTTTTTTTACTTTGTTTTAACTTATATAAAAATAAGTAAACTGTCGGTCTTAAAATTTGGAGTTCATTGAACCTTAGATAGTTCCCGGAACCATAATCAGTAGTGTTACAGTTAGTCAAATTTATCACAATTTAAGACAGCTAGGTTAGCTGACTTTTTAAGCTAGAACACTGAATCATTTTTTCACAGAGTAATCTCTGGTCTCTAGTTTAATTTGCACTATATGGTCTGAGGCGGGAGATGATTGTGCTGGTCCTCATCCTTGCACTCATTTTATCCTTTAAACAAGATTTGTTATTGAAAAGTTCACTGCTGTTCTTATAGGCTGCTACAAGACACCCACATAGAGCAGACTGTAATGTTGTGTTAGTACATTTCGAAATATAACTAGGCTTAACATATTAGTATATAGTGTAATATATACACTGTACATTTTCTTATGGAAAGATGATCTTTAGGTGCTGCAGCTGCTGCTTTTCTAGAGCTTAAAGGAATACTCTGCTGTGTTTCAACCTTATCTGAACCTGCTGCACCTGTAGCATACTGTCAGCTACTACTTAGAAAAGAACAGAATAACTGGTGAAGCCAGTGGGCAAATGCTTGAAGCTTGAAGCATGTGCACATTGGGGTCTATTATAAGCGAGTTTCAAGTCATCAGGATTTCTGTCTTTTTTCTAAACACAATGAAATGAATGTCTGTTGTAATCCACCACATGCTATAGATGCAGCAGATAGAAAGTGTTGAAAAAGTATTCCTTTAAGATTGCAACTATAGTCTTTAATGAATGTGATGTTAAGGTAGTTCAGTTCAATGCATCTCTACTGCTGTAACGCAGAACAGAACATGTCTTTCGGAGCAGCTTGGATCTAGAGTACATTTTGATCCTTTAGCACCACCTGGTGGCACAATGCTGTGAACTGCAGGCAAAAGCTCAGACAGTGGACTGAATATAACATGTGCATTGACGTGCTGCAGCAGTAGACTGAGGCTGCGTGCATCACTGCAAACTACTATACTAAATAGTATGTTAAAAATAGTCAACATCATTAGAATTACATTAATTAGTACAGTATGTATACTATAGTAGTATGTTTTTTGAAAGCAGATTAACACTAATAGAAAAAATACATTTTTTTTTAATAAATGAGCAAACTGTATTATGTGTAGTATGTAAACATGGTTAAAGGTACTATTAACTCCCCAGGCCATACAGTTCTAAGCATTTTAAATGAACTGTTTTTGTGCACCTGGACATATTCGTCTATTCAGCCTACGGCAGGTTAGTTCCACCAGTTCACTCTGAAGTTGTAAGGAGTGTTTCAGCCTGGACTACTTTTTCAATAAGGCACAATATAGAGCAGCCAGTCAGAGCAGAGCTCACTTACAGTGGTATGCAAATTTTTGGGTACCCTTGGTTGAATGTTTTGTTGATGTTCAAAAAAAAAAACCACATCATCTACAGAGAATACACTCCCACACATTTAATGGACAGTTACTGGTTATGTATTCAAAATGTGGCCTGTGCAAAGTTTTAGTACATTTTATATTTTATGTTTTATTTTTTATATAATAATATGTGTTGACTAGTTTTCACTTTGGAAATCAACAAATCGTAATTTAACCAGAGGTATTCAAAAACTATATATCATTCTTAAAAGAGCAGTAACAAAAACAACCTGTTTAATTCTAAGAGGTAAAGAAAGAGGTTGGACAATGATCTTTTAAAAATGCTATTTTTTTGGTACGTAAGACTGCACAAACATTAGTGGACCTCACTGAAAAATGTAGAATATTGGACTTTTTAAAGGCTTTGAAGCACTGTAGCTACAGTTTGTAGACTCCAGTGTAAGTTCATGATGTTCTATTCGTCTTGATTACTTTGTATGTGTGTATGGGTTTTATTGCTTTGTGGGGTCCAAATCCCCCCACAATGTAAAAAAAGTTTGTCAGTTCAACCTAAAAAATACTTCATGCTGTAACCAGTGAACGTAAATAAACTAGTTTATTCAGCTTAAATTACACAATTTGAACGATCCACTGTTTCAATCAAAGTTTTTATCTGAGTTGAACAAAGAAGTTGTGCTTGTTACCACATGAAATCAATTTTTAGGTTGAACTAATGAACCATTTTTTACAGCGTAGGATGATGAAAATATAAATATAATAGTAGGGACATTTGGCGGCTTTTCTTGAGGAAAACATTCTTTTTAGGGTTGGGTTAGGTGGAGCACAACAGCGTTTACATACACTCATACAGAAACACATCATAACAGCAAACAAACAAACACACATCCCCCAATACAAAAAATATAAGCCGTGTTTAACAAACAATTATAAGACTGAATAAATGATACTGAATAAGATAATACATTAATTATTCAGGCGTACTTCACTTGTGCAATCATAATAATGTAATAAGCCGATAATACACTGTTCTGCACAAAATCATAATCGCATTCCATAGAGCATCTTCATCATACATGTTTATATCCCCATTAGCACTCTGTACTTTTTAAAATAAAATGTGCTATTTATACTTTGAAACATTTGGTATATCATTACCAAATATACATCAAGAAATAAATAAAATGTTAGAAATGTCATTGTGGCTGCATAGTCCTTAAAACCTTTAATATGATTTAAATAATATTACACAACATGCTTAAACTGTATAGGCCTAAAATTTGTTTTAAAAATGAAACAAGCAGCAGGTTAATCTGTGCAAATCTGAGTACTACAAATGCATTCATGCTTGGAATTAATGTTTTTTTAATAATAAAAAAACAGGATGGTGGGAGGTTATTCTAAAGTGCTAATCATGTCCAGCTTCACAAGTCTAAATAATTATTAATAATAATATAAATACATGCTGTAAAGATTTGTCCAGAACATCTGAAGGCAAAAAACTTGACTAAAAATCTATAAGTAGATTACCACAGTGTATTATTTATCCTTGAATAACTTCTTGATGATGCCACAGTGCTTGAAATATTGAATTCAGCATCTAAACGTACCACTGGTTGTCTAGTTGAAGTGTTTAAATGTGCATGTAGATGAAAAAAAATTAGTAATAATAAAAACAGGAACAGTTTGTGGTGAGATATCTGGCTGCTGTCTACAAGGAAAATTGCTTTTTCACCAAAAAACTTTAGTTTTTTATTAGGAAAAGCTGCTAAAAGCTGTACCTCTTGACTGTGTCTAATTGGAACACTATCCCCTTTACATATATTACCCCTTTCACATCTGTTTCTTCAACAATCAGCACCTCCATAGGACCACCATAGAGCAGGTATCATTTGGGTGGTGGATCATTCTCAGCACTGCAGTGACACTGATGTGGTGGTGTGTTACGCTGATGAGTGGATGAGTGGATCAGACACAGAGGTGCTGCTGCAGGTTTTAAACCCTGTGTCCACTGTGTCCACTCTATTAGACACACCTGTTGGTCCACCTTATAGATGTAAAGTTAAAGATGATAGCTCATCTGCTGCTGCACAGCTTTTTGAACATCCTCTAGTCGTTTGTCAGTGGTCACAGGATGCTGTTGGCTGGATCTTTTTGGTTGGTGGACTATTCTCAGTCCAGCAGTGACACTGACAAGTTTGAAAACTCCAGCAGCACTGCTGTGTCAGACCCACTCATACCAGCACAACACACACTAACACACCACCACCACGTTAACATCACTGCAGTGCTCAGAATGATCCACAACCCAAGTAGTACCTGGTCTGTGGTGGTCCTGTGGGGGTCCTGACCATTGAAGAACAGGGTGAAAGGGGGCTAACAAAGTATGCAGAGAAACAGATGGACAACAGTTTGTTATTGTAAAACTACAAATAACTGATTTAAGATTTTTAACGATAAGCTGATAACACATACATGGACTATATACTGTATATATTCTACACTAATTGTCAATTTTAATGAATGTGATATTGTGCACAATTACTGTTTATTTGCTGACCTACTTTACATCAAAAGCAGAATCAAAGGAATCAATCCCATTAGGCATATCAACAATAGGCCAGTGACTCAAGATGATGAACCCATGTATAAGAAGTCTAAGAGGGTAAAATGATGTTAGTTCCTTCTTTTTGTCACTGCGCTAATAGACCTACACAGGCTTCCCTGCAGTGGGACACCAGTTCAACAGTCAGCTGCTCCTTTATTCGCCTTGGTTTGGGGGTGCAGAGGGCTGAGGAGATGACTCCAGCACAGGGATGGTGAGGTGAAGGAAGAAAGGAAGTGTTCTTTTCAGGTAGTGGTGTTTGAATGCAGGAACAAACAGCTGATGAAATGCAGGCCAATGGCTGCTTGCATAATAACTTAACTCAATAATACCTGAATTTCCTTTGGTCCATGTGTTTTCTGAGCCAGGCCAGAATCATCACACTATCAGCCCCTGCTTGGCTACCTTTTTTGGTGGTCAGGGAATTTTTTATGCCGTCACAGCAAGTCACATGAGGGCTGTGCAGCACCTCTTTTCTTTGAATGGTCTGACCAAGTTGTACTTTCTGGCTTATGGTATAAAAAACTAAAATTAGGTGTGAGTGGTTCTAGAAACAAACCTTAAATGTTTCTGATAAGTATCCTAGCCTAATTTAAACTTTAATTTTTCATCATTTATTTTTAGCCATTTAGAAGAAACTATGTTGACCTGCACTTGTTGCATAAAGACAAGAACAAGTTGCCAAACAATACACTTTTTAAACAGGCCGTGTCCCGTTATGGCAGGACACCCTATAGAGGTATAAATCAATAATACATATGCATACATTTATCATAACACAGGTTAACATAAACCCAACAACCAATGCAACACATCCTTATAAAGTCCTTATAAATGTGTCCACTGTTGACAAGCACATTTACCCCACTGAAGACAGCAAACATGAAAATTAGACAGCTGTATATAACAAAGACCACTAGAGGCGGGCCTGAGTCAAGACAAAGACCTGAACACATAGAGTCAAGACCAAGACTTTTTGGAAAATATAACTTTAAGTAATATATAATCTAAAGTTATTTTGAATTATTGTTAAATTACAGTCCAACTTTGCATTGTAACTTTTGGATGGTGCTGAGATCCTCTGTCCCTTATTCTCCAAAACTTATTGAGAATCATCTGACATTAAGTTAAATGGGATTTTAATTAGCTGGAATTGCTGAATTTTAACTGGTCAAAAACTGGTATTTAGACTACCAACAATGTGGAATGGTCAAGTTTGTTTTCCAACTTGTTAACAATGTGATATGCTGATCAATGGCCAAATCTGTTCTCTCTCAATACTTTTTCATCACTGGTTTAGGATTCTATCGTAAAAAAACTCACATTGGTACATTCTCCTGTTAAAACATTCACACTTCAAAACTTCAGCTTTTCAAATTGCCTAATCACTTTAGTTTGATATTTTTCTAACCTTAACATCCTCAGAGAACTGACAGCTACGTAACTTTATGCAACATTTAAGGGGCAAGTTAATTTTCAATTTCAAATCAGCTTTCAAAAATTCTGCATAATTCAAGTGTTGATATGTGAACTTTGTCAAGTGATTTGATGTGAAATGATGCATTGTCTACAAAACAAAAAAAGTCTTTGAGGACTATTTTGCTTATAACACTCTGCATATACTTCTTCACCATGAATGGATTAAAAAAACTTTTTACTCCAAAAACGTATCTGAAACTTATTGCAAAACAATGTCTCAAGCACCAGGCAGTGCATTTGAAACAATTTCACGTGAAAACTTTTTGTGAGGCTGCTTCTGAGAGGCATTTAATGCTTCAGATGTCTGGTTCCAATCACTACCAGTATGAACAGTCCTGATTCTGTACATTTTTCTGGAACTGAGTATTTTGCCACTCTGAATGACTTCTACATCTTACTGATTAATGATTACCCCATTAGTATAGGCAAATTTGTCCCTTCAATGTTTAACCTAAAATAAGTATTTAAGATGTTTCATGCAGGCTGCCACAGAGCTGATTATTTTGATGATTAATTAAGTCAGAGTTTTTAAAATGGCCAAATAATGAAAATTGACCTAACTGAATAAGAACAAACCATGCAAAACCTTTTAAAATGTTGAACCTACTTAATTGGAAAAGATAAACTGGGAATCCTTTAAAAATACAGGTGTGTCTATCATGCAAACTGACAACTAAGCACTGCCAATTCAACAAGAAGGTAGGCAGTGATTTAGTTCTAGTTTTTGTTTCTGATCTAATGACACAAATTTTGTCTAAATTTAAAACCTTGACAACAGCTTTGAGTCAAAGGCCTTTATGCTTGGTTAATATATCCACCAGTTATGTTTATGCTGAAATTAATCCAAGACTGCCAGCAAGTCTTGCTAACCGGGACTTTTTAAAAGCCGATATTAATAAATAAGCATGCTGTAGTTATACATCAATTAATGTAACTCATAAAGTGTTCATAGTAGTTACTGAATAATTATTAGTAATGACTGAATATAGCAGTTATTGAATAATTCATAGTCGTGACTGAAGAATTAATAGTAATGACTGAGTAGTTCATAGTACGTATTGGATAACTTACATTTGTCACTGACTAATTCATAGTAATAACTGAATATAGTAGTTACTGAATAATTCATAATAGTCATTGAATAATTCATAGTAGTTATTAAATAATTCATAGTAGTAACTGAATAATTCATAGTAGTTACTGAATATTTCATAGCAGTCACAGAATAATTCATAGTAGATACGTAAAAATTCATAATAGTTATTGAATAATTCATAGTAGTTACTGAATAATTCATAATTTCATAGTAGTGACTGGATAGTTCATAGCAGTTATTGAATAATTAATAGTAGTGACTGAATAATTTTTAGTAAGGACTGAATAGTGCGTAGTAATGACTGAATAATTCATCGTAAGGACTGAATAATGCGTAGTAATTACTGAATAATTCATAGTGACTGAATAATTTATAGCAGTTACTGAATGACATAATGACAATAATCATAAGTGATTAAATAATTCATATTAGTTATTGTATAATTCACAGTAGGGACTGAATAATTAATAGTAGTTACTGAATGACCTAGCACATTCTTTTTTGTTTTATAGTAGATATTTGATTCATGAACAAATATTCTAAATGAGGTCTTCACTAACAGACACACAGTATCGTTAACGCTTGGGTTTATTCAGCCATTCCTTCTACCAACAACCTTTGCGCAAAACACAGCAATTCTGAAAATGGCACCAATTTGGTATTTACAAAAAATCATTAAAATAAACCATATTTTACAAATTTCAATAATAAATAAATGTTTTGACAAAAAACAGTTGCATTCAGCAGTATTTTCTCATCTTTTACAGAGAAATGGTTTGTTAATTACTGAGTAGTTAGCATGAGTCCTTTTATAAATGAAAACAAAAAAAAAACAAAAGTGACATACAATGAATTGGTTGTTGCAATTTGGACTTCAATAAAATCATAGCCCCAAGTAAACACACAACATCCAGCAGCCTTCACATGTGAGTGAACAGTAGTGCATTGATTAAAACGCAAATGAAGAGCTTTGGTTCAACAGTACTTCACACTACCAGCACACACGCACACACAACACGCACACACACAATGGTGTCGCTCACTATATAAGGCACCTGTATACATCATCTAGCAATTAGCGTGTTATTAAAAGTAAACTTTAGGTTTCGCAAACAAAAAAAGAAGAAGCTTCTTTTCTGCACATTACAGGATACATTTTAACTTGAGATGCAATCAGATTGTTAAAGAAATGCACGACAGCTTCAACTGAATGTCTCAAGTTAAAAAATGGTGCTAATAATTCAGAATTTTGATAAACAACCAAATTCAGTGAGCCAATGATGTAGCCATCACTGCACAATCTTCTACAGGTACGCAAAACAAGCACATGAATAAAAGCAATCATTACTGCACAGTCATATGCATGAACACCCACGCTTGAGAAAGGAAAACAATTTGGCAATTACAAATCGTATATCCAGTACTTTTTGTTCATCGGAAGGAGTAATTAGTGTGTTGGCAAAAAAAATAAAACATGAAAATAAAACCCTGAGATTAAGATCAATCGTTGAGGTCAGGTGTGACGAAACATTGAGAAAGTCTACACTCAGCCTATTCGGCTTAGTCCTTCAGTCTGTACTCTCCTTAAAGCGACAGTTCAGTAAGAAATCAAAGGTACACAATTTCCCCTTTACTCAAAATGCAATCAGTCAGCCAAGACACGTTTGGTATCTAAAGCTTTGTTAGTTCTGCATTTGAGCTACGATAATATAAGGTTACTTAACAGCTCAATGCAGTTTGTACAATGCTAACTGACCTATCCATGCTTCATCCACACATAGCTACTGTTGTGAGGTTTGACAAGTTTTAGGTAATGTTGGCAATAATCCCGTTCAACTTAATGAGAAACTGTAAGGCACAAACTGGACTTTGTTCAAATTAGAGCTCCCAAACAGTTAAATTTATGAATCATGATTGACATTGATAATGTTTTATTTGCTCAATTTTTTCTATTTAAAAAGTAATGCATTTTGGTTTATCTATATGAGTGGACAAAATAAGCTTCACCAGACTGGTTTTATTACTTTATACTTCACATGAACCAGAACATGAAATGTAAGTAGGGTAAACTTGATAACAGAATGAATGCAGTTTCCAATTTTCATCACCAACAGTGGGTGCATGTTCTAACTTGTCTGGGATTGTATCCTTTCGCTCTCACACTACAATGTTACATGTTGTTTTGAGGGGGAGCTATTAATGTGTTACCACTAGTTAAAATACCTATATTCAGCATGTTTTTAATTACTTACCTTACTTGTTTTTAATTAAAAATAATTACTTTTATTCCATGTGTGTGGAAGATCACACTGTTAACATTAGGTGTAGGGTTTTTTTTGGGTCATGTAATGGAGCTTATGTTATTGTAGTGGCGAATTTTTGTATCCAATCTGTTTTGATTAGCCACAACAACATGTTGTGTGGTCAGTAGTGCAGCATTTTAAACTGGAAACTCAGCATTATGTAGTGACTTCACACTACAAAAGAATAGATTTGTAAGCGAAGCATGGAAGCAAACATCAGGCACCAAAGATGTCTTGGCTGACCAAGCACATCTGGGGTAAGGGCGTAATTGGTAAGGGCGTAATTGTGTAAGTTTGATTGTCCGCTGAGCTATTGCTTTATCGCTAACACTTAGGCAAAACGGCCACATTGGCAGCACCAGGAAACCCTGAAGGCAGCCCTTGTGGGCAGGGTCTTAGTGCCCCCCAGGCTAGGGGCAGTGCCCCCCTGCGGGCTGGCTGTGGAAGAGGTCACTGGGTGAAGCTCTTTTTGATGGAGACGTTTGGGAAGAGGCTACTCAGCTCCTGCACAGTCCGTGCGTCGATCTGTGAGCAGAAGGAGACGTCCAGCAGACGCAGCTGAGGACACGCCTGCAGCAGTCTTCTCAGAGCAGCAAGACTGACCATCCGTGTACCTGCACACACACATCAGTAAAACACACATTAAACACCACAACACACAGCCGAATATCTGACAGACAAGTCTCAACAAGAACACTGTGTTACTATGCGTACATTTTCCATTCATCCTGACTGTAATAAACCCAGAGAAAAGCAGCGCTAACCAACAAAAATAGTCCTGACTTTGTAAAATGTTTTTACAAAAGCTCCATGTTTCATGTTTTAAAACTGAAAGAGCAAAAGCATTTCTTTCTGGTTCCTTTAAGATTAAAATTAGGATTAGGTTTAGAATTAGACTGAGAAAATTCTTACTACATATACATACTTATGTATAACACATTCGGGACATAATACATTCTTACATTTAAACTAGCGTTCAAAAGTTTGAAATTGATTGTGGTTGCAGACACGTGTAAATTTTTCTAATATGTTAGTCCTGTGTAACTTCATAGGTTTCTAATAATTAGTAGGACGCTAGGAAGCTGTGAAAAAGCAGAAATGTTAGATGTGTCCAAAATGATGAACAGAGCCAGAAATGATTCTAAAAGGATTCTAAAATGAAATCTAACATCCAGAATCAAAAGGGAAGTTTTAAAAAATTTATATCCAGAATTCATCATATCTAGAAAGTGGAGATCAAATCTCAAGGCAGATAACTGAAAAAATAAGTAAATAGAGTATATTATCAGGTAATTCCCTTCTTGTTCTATATATATATATATATATATATATATATATATATATATATATATATATATATATATATATATATATACAGGGAGATTCACTCAAAAGAGGCCCCGACAGCCGTCGTGATGTTTGACCTCCGTTTGCATCTTCCGGGAGCAAACCCCCGTACCCCTTCATGCGTCTGGCAGAAAACGGAGATCACTTCCAGAAGCTAACTTTACATTGGTGTTTTTCTTGGAAAGTGCTTGCATGATTCAATTATGGAAGTTAGTCAGCCATTCAGTCAGTCAGAGACTCAGTAAGAGACATCAGCTCTCATAGGCTTTTCCAGGATAATGTGTTATTGATATATTGATAACGTCCAGCAATAACAAAGCTTATTAATATATCAAGTTATTCCAAACTTTTGAATGGCGGTATATATAGTACTAGGGGTGGGGGGAAAAAATCGATTCTTAAACGCATTGCGATGCGGACGTGGACGATTCTGAATCGATTCACAAATGTCAAAAAGTGATTTTCTGAATTTTTTAAAATATAACGCAATGTTGACAGAATGCAAAAGGTGGAACTTGGAAGTGCAGCACCTGGACATTCTGTGACATAACAAAAACACAAGAGGATGAGCGAGAAATCATTAAAAGCTAGTTTAGGCCAGGAGTCGACAACCCAAATGTTAAGAAGAGCCATTTTGTCCTTTCAACAAAAATCAGATCACCTTAGGAGCCATAACATTTAATGTCCAGTATGTCTCAGTATGTGCTAATGTCCTAGTATACATTAAAAAATATAAACTTACTTACAGACTTACTTTGTTCTGCTTTAAGCTTTAGCTAGAGCAACTGTCCCCCCATCTCTACCAGAAAACATTTTCTTCAAAAGTAGAGCAGCTTATTGTAAAATGTCTCTCAACGTTCGACTGTTTTATAAGTCGCTTCTTATTCTCCAGTTTCTTGTTAGAATTTTCCCGTTCCACCTTAAATTCTGCCTGAGGCGCCGGAATGTAAATGCGGCACCATTTAAGGTGGACCGGGAAAATTGGAAAGAGAAGCTGACTTCATCTTCGCAGCTTTTTAGTGTTTGACAGTCTCTTGTTGCAGATTAAACGTACCAGGAAACCTGCATTGCTTATAAATGCGAATAAGTCCATTCGTCTCCAAAACTTCGTCTTAAATCTCTCTCTTTGCCTTTTCGTTAGCAACTAGCTAGGCAAGACTGCGTTACTATGTGACCTGCAGTCTGCACACCAGGGGAAAAAGGACCTGGATAAGAGCCGTACGTTACGCAAGTTCACACTAAACTAAAATATTTTGGAAATGACAAACATGAAAAACCATATTACGTGTCCACCCGTTTTCCGACCGGTTACACTTGCTGCCAACCAGAGGACCATCAAGGAAGCGATGTCAGAGCTTCCACCCAACTCTGAGGTGAATTACAAACTGTATCGCAACTTTTATTGCCAAGGATTTGCGTCCGTTCTAAGTCGTTGAGAACCAGGGCTTTCCCGCTATGTTGGACACTTTGGAGCATCTCGTCTCAAAAGATATTTTACTGACACAATGAGAGTCACAACACTTCCATTTGTTTTATTAGTAAAAGATATTGAAAGTAAATTCGTTATGGATCATTACAAATATTTTGCTTTAAAAGTACCAAGTCCTCACACAGTGAGAAAAAAGAAATCCTGTATAGAAAAAGAGACGCATCAAGATGCATCAATAATCGTTTTATAATCGCATCACAGCCCTCTGAACCGTAATCGAATTGAAACGTGAGGTGTCTAGAGATTCCCACCCCTATATAATACATATGGGACATATTATCACATTATTACATTATATTATTTTGACACGGTATAAAAGTCAAGTTTATTTATATAGCGCTTCTCACAACAGACATTGCCACAAAGCAGTGTTACAGAAAATCTGGGTCCAAGCCCCCATGAGCAAGCCAAGGATGACAGGCAAGGTAAAACTCTCTAAGAGCAAGAGGAAGAAACCTTGAGAAGAACAAAGACTCAAAAGGGGAACCCATCCTTCTCTGGTCGACACCAGATAAAATGTATGATCGAATACATGAATTTGTATGTGTTACTGCCTTGTCTCACCCAGTTTTATATTTATATTTACTATTTATATTTTCTATGTAAATTCTCACCCAATATGTCAAGGTGCTCCAGTGCAGGGCAGTTTGTGGCGAGTTGCTCCAAGTCACTGTCACAGACGGTGCGGTTTGCAGTGAGGAAGAGTTTGCGCAGGTGATGCAGTCTGCGACCTAGCAGCTGGAAACAGCCAGAGCTACTGTGGAGACTGGAGCACCAGCCCAGGTCCAGTTCTTCGAGCCCTGCACAGCCGGACACCAGCTCTGCCAGCCCACGCTCACTCAGGTTCCTGCAGCGCCACAGGTCCAGAGACACCAAGCCCCGGCACCGTGCAGCCAGCAAACTCACCACTGCATCATAGTCCTCTATCTACAAACCAGAGATGTTTATGTAATTTTACATACATCTGAGTCAAGTTTCAAGTCTTTAGTTGTGAACCCAAGTTCATTTAAGCACTGCACTGTAACTCCACAAAACAGTCTATTAACAGTCTATTCACTATTTAAATGGCGAAAGCATACCGTCTATCCAAACTACTGAAGTCTCTCATAAAAGGTTTCATTAACACAAAGAGTTTCATTAATTTACCACAAAGTGGCTGGCCTTAGGGGCTAAGAATAAGGTAGAGCCTCTATTCTGCTGTTTCACTGTTCACCTAATTAAACAGCTTTCAAATGTGAGGACTAATAGACTGTTCTAGATGTTTGAACAGTCTGTTAGTTCACTGTTACAAATAAGAGTTTGTAGTATGTCAATTAACTAAGATTCTGTCAGGCAGTCATGACTTTCTGAACACTCGCTATGCTTCTCTACCTGCATTACCCTATTGTGTTGGGAATGCCATCAGCTCCACTTTGATCGTTTTCTGTGGAATGATCCAAATTATGCTAATTATGCTAGTATGTTATCCAAACTAGCTGTCGCTTCTTTTAGCCACACAGAAAATATTTCTTTAATCATTCAAAGCGAGTCATGCTGTGTTCTACCCCATAATTTGTCTGCAAGTCCTGAATTAAGACCATGATGCAGTTTGAGCAGGTTGAGAAAAGCTTTGAGGATGTATTTATGGAAACAGTTTGGGTGATTTTTGAATTCCAGTGTTTGCTAGCCTTGTAGATCTAGTCCTAAACTAATCAAACAAAATTTGGACACCAAACAGGTCGTAGCTGAACGACTGCCTTCGGGGTAAATGGAAAATCATGTAAATTTGATTTAGTCAAACTATTCCTTTAGGTAAACCTATTTTTGTAAGTTAAAAGTCACTAATTATTCTTGGATGTTTCTCCGCTTATCAAGAAGAACCATTTTTAAGCATCAAAATAAATCTAAATGTGATAAAGCACTGCACACTCAAATCTGTGCAGAAATCACCAAAATCAATCTGAAATATTTTTAATTGTACAATATATTTAGTATTTAGTATTCAGTCTTAATTTCTACAAAGCCAAAGTTGGCTTTGCATTTGCCAGCTTTTGGTTTAAATTTTCTGTTCCACCTGAAATGGAGCACCAGTTACATTCTAGCACATGTACTGGCACCTGAATGTAACTACTGCACCACTGAAGGTGGAACAGGAAATTTCGAATAAGAGGCTAACTTTAATTTCACCAAATTTATCAAGTCATTTGTGTGCTCCATATACTCATGCCTCTGATTATCAGACATTCTCGCCATCATACATAAGGTAATGCAGCTGACCAAGTCAGGTATGAGAAACAGAAGGACTCTGGTGTCCATGTTAGGCAAGGCTAACCCAAAAACACCAGCCATTCCTTTATATCAGCTGTCTAAAAAACAAAGCGGACTACTTCAGATGCAATAAACTAGCTGCTGTATTTTTATTTTCATTTGAAACGTGACTAAAACATTCTTGGCTCAGCCATTTGTCCAAACAGGCTAATATTAGCGTAGTTTGTGCATGCTTGTACGTCACGCTACTTGCACTTATTTGTGGCACACTGGTATACAAGTTATACTCTTAACTTCATAATTGCAACTGGTATATCAGATGAACTGGTATATCTACCACTACTAATGTGTAGGTTCACTGGTCATTTTGCATAGCAAATAAAATGGTTGTGTTGTAGACATTGTGACCCCTGGTTCCTATCACCAAATTTGTAAAGAAATCAGGAATCAGTAATTTGAATGCACCACTTCACATCAAACCACTATGACTTTGTTTACACCCCAGTGATTTAATTCTACTGAAATTCTGAAATATGGGTGGAATTGTTCTTGAAGCTGTGGACTCAAGGTAACATAGTGATGATACTGTGGCGTGTGTGACTCACCATTACACAGCTGCCAAGGTTGAGATGCCTCAGCTCAGTGCAGAACGTCAGGATGCTCAGCATGGCTGTTTGCTATACAAAAAAAGAGAGAATATGACTAGAGCAGTGCACAGGTTTATCAATGCTCCAGCCGAGGGCCCTCAAGTGGGAGGGGCCCCAAACTGTCCAACAAATTATCATGGAGGGGTTTCAAGTGATTTTTCACATGTAACATCAGGCTTGGGTTTGTTTTCTAATGAGCGATTTCTTTATATAGTACATTTTGTGCATTCTCTCTCTCTCTCTCTCTCTCTCTCTCTCTCTCTCTCTCTCTCTCTCTGTAACTCTCTAGCTCCCTCTAGCGCTCTCTCTTTTTCGTAATGTTAGCTGCATTCTGAATGAATTGCTCTGGAGTTTGAAGAGTGGGTTAACGTGCCAATGAATGAAACCATGGATGAGAGGGATGTGTTAGGTTGGTGAAAGGTCACAGAGGATCTTTCCCCTTGTTGTTAAGACTGCTTGATAGGCATTAAGCATTGCTGCAGTAACAGCAGTAGCGGGAGAAACTTTCGCACAGTGGGGCAGTTGATCACAGGAAGGTTTAAATGGTGCCAGGTATGATTGACAATTCCACAAAAAGCTTAGCCTTAGCTTAGCCTGACTGTACATGAGGTACACGAATACGCATACGCAATTACCCACATCTGTTAGTGCAAACTCAGTCAGGCCTGGTTTGGCTGGGTTCCAAAACTGCGAGTACGGGTCAGGATTAGCCGCAATTTCGTGCCTGTGCTAGCTAATATATTCTTACTAATATCACGTCCATAAATCTAGATAAGTTATTACAGCTGCATACGATAGTTAACAGTTTTTAGCTAGCCAGGTACTACATTCAAAATCTCCAAATGATCTATTAATAACTGTACTTAGTAGAGACAAGCATTTCTACTTATTTTGATATTTGTGAAGCTCTAAGATTTAATAAATAGATAACAGCTTAATGGTTCAACAAGAAAACAACTGGTTCAACTGGCTAACAATAAAGTAAGGCTGTAGGCTTTCATTTTTAGATAACAGCACTGGTGTAACAGCACACATTTTAAAACTTTTTACAGGTTTTCATGTTGGATGTGTAAAGAAGAGCCTACCTCTTCAGAGGATCTACTGAGCTAACAGAGCTACTCAGTACACTGAAAATGAGGAGCTGTAATCTTCTTACAGGTGGACAATCTGCTAACATGTTAGTTTGTCCAAAAAATATATTTGCACTGTTTCTGGATCTAGTTAACATAAGCTAGAGTAATTTAGTTGACCTAGTTAGTGAAAAGCCTGTGTCCTTAACAACGTATTCTTGGCCATGCACTCTCGTTCAACCACTCGTGAGTGAACTTGCAACATCTTACAGCCCTGTTAAAACATAATATCAATGTTTCATTTAAATGTTTACCTGTATGTTTTCTCTGTTTTTTCTGTGATGAAATGAAACAGAGCAGTGATTTCAGTATTTGATTACAGTACTTGAGTACTCATGTACATCCTTGATACTTTCTATAGTTTCAGTTTTGAATGCAGTTTGTTAAACGATCACAATCTAGCAACAAGCAATGTACGTAAATGAACAATAATCATGTACTTAATAAAAAAAAACAACAAACTAAAACAGTTGTAATCTCTGCAAATTGTGCATCTAAGACTGTAGAACTGACTCCTCTTTCTGGCAGTCTCTTAGCTTAAAAATATGGTTGGACTAAAGCCTATTCACACTAGTTTAAGGATATGCGTCCTTCAAAGCACTTCTGGAAGTTGCTTTGGATAAGAGTGTCTGCTAAATGCCGTAAATGCAAATGTAAATGTGTATGCTTTGTGTCTGTGTAGGCCCTGTAAGATTTATAGCCCAAGGGCCTGTGTTAGTCTTAATGTGGCCTTGAACATGACAAACCTTACAGCATCAAATTAGTGAGGGAATAAAATAATGCAAGTATTATAATATGTGTCAATCCCACAACAGACTGAAAATAACACAGACAAAGGAACAAAGGCGGGTTCCTATTAAATGATCAAAGAAAACAAAGCCTCCAACCACAACGGACCTGTCTACAATCCAGCAGTGGAAAAATGAGCCGCAGGAATACGGAAAGCAGAACGGAAAGACAGCAGTGCGCTTAGCCATGTTATTCAGTACTGTTAGAGAAATGGATATGTCAAAATAAAAGTATTACATGACTTCATGGCTCGGCACGCTCACATTAAGAAGAGGATGGTTTAAAATTTCAGAGAAAAAATGTCATTTTGACAGAAACAGCTGAATCATTGCTGTCTTAAAGACAGCAGGCTCAACACCTCAATTAAAACAGAATACAGCTATTGTTCTCAGCTGAGTTAAAACACGTCTCAGTAAATGCATGTGTGCGCACGTCTTTGACTGCACACCTCTTACTCTGCTTACTGCTGATGGTGAGAAAAGAAACATGTTAATTATGTCAGTGACAGCCTAATAGTAGAGGGATGGGGGATTTGACAGGCTGTGAGGGTGTGTAAATAGTATCCTTCCCTGCAGTGAAACACTATGCCTATAAGTAGAGAATGGAGCAGTACTACAAAGCACTGAGCCACTCTAAAGCACACGCTCAGACACACCACTGCGGTCAGTGTTACTGGGGTTTACTGGTGTTATTGCCGTTAGTGTTGTTCTTTGTGCAGGTTTAGGAGAGAATGTAGTGTGTTAACTCCTGAATGGGTCATATGGAGGGCACACCAAAACTTTGACCAAAGCCTGATGCCAGAAAACGAGTCAAATGACCAAGAAACAATTAATAAACATAGAGTCATATGCAAAAGTTTGGGCATCCCTGGTCAAATTACATGTTTCGTTGATTTGAAAATAAGTACACAGTCTCTATAGAGAACACACTTCTGCACATTTTAATGCACAATTACTGCTTGTTGATTAAATGTAACATATTGAGGGAAAAGTTAGCAAATACACAGAAACTATGTACTGAAGCAAATTTTTATTTTAATGAATTGCTAGGAATTTTTAATTTCTTTGTTAACTTACTTCTCTTAAAAATTTGACTATTCAAAACTTTGCATAGGACTGTCCAGCGCTGTCAGTTTTAGGCACCTGAGAAAAATACATATAAAAAGCTATTTACTACAATAAGTAGTGATTTTACATATGTCATTGTATATGTTTAACCATTTCAAAACCTCTCCTTGAGGAAGCCCAGTATTATTTGTATTCATCATCCAGTACCTGGTTTGTCTCAATTAATCCCTTATTAAACAAAATCAAGTGAGCAGTAGATAGAATGAAATAAATCAATATAGGGATTGCTAGGAGTGCCCAGGAGCCATCTGGAGCTAAATTTTGTTCTTTAAACAAAACATTTTTGAAAACAAGGAATTGTTGTTACTTTTTACTGTGTTTATGTTATGTGCATTTATTCAATATTGATTTTACAGGCAAAATGAGACTTATTGCCAAGATACGTGGTTTTAAACAATGTGTTGGGGGGCACAAAAGACTTTTGCACAGTACTGACTCATAACACAAAAAAATACCAATCACAATACACTCTACACAACCCACTCTACACAACCTAACAGTCTATAATATATTACTATATATATACTACTTCTACTACTATTACTACTACTACTAATAATAATATTTATAATAATAATAGCAACACTTTTCGTCCAGTAATTCTGAGATGGTTTCAAACTTTGAAGCAGCTGTGGGAGCAAACAGTGATCATAAGGGAGTAGAAGTTTTATCTTTGTCAAATAAATGAACACAGGTTCCCACTGTGTTTTCCAAGACTTTTCCAGGACAATTCAAATCAGTAAGTTGTAGCATATTGTCATTGTTAATTGGGCAACAAATGTAGAAAAAAAGAAGAACAGAATTGCAAATGTCATACAAAGGGACCACCATCACTAAACCTGATCATATAAGAGCTGAGACTTGACGTGTTTTCCCTGACACCCCCCGAAACCCGATGTCTTAAACCTGACACTGTAATCTGAGAATACTGTAAAATGTACATCATAGCATTTGTTTTACAGGCTTTTTGTACAGGCATTAAATCTGATTGCAGCACTCAGCAGGTTCATCTAGTGCAGCTTGAGAGCTGCATTTCAACAACAATCTCCTTGCTAGTAAATATGAATAAACAATAAATATAACATTAATGTAAGATATCACACTACCCTTCATGTTTTAAATTTAAAAATGTTCATGTGTGGGAATCTTAGTATCTTAGCAGCTGTGGTTTACATGAAAAAAAAAAAATCAGTAAATGAACAACATTTTCTTAATGATGTTACCATAGTAACTTGGTTAACCACTACCAAGACAGCCTTGGAAGAATAGTCAATTATTCAAATATAAGTCAGCAAACAAATTGATTACTAAACTAGTAGCAGCTCCCTGCCCTCTCACCTCAATTTTGGTGCGGTAGAGTATGAGTCGGCGGAGGTGTGCGAGTTTGGTGATGTGGGTGAAGGCCTGAGGCTGTAGCCGGTCACATGAGGAGAGATCCAACTCCTGAAGGCGCGGACACATCACACACACAACCTCCAAACACACCTCATTCAAGAAGTGACAGCAGGACAGCTGCAAACACACCAGACTCATCCCACATGCCCGAATGAAGCTGCGGGAGGAAGAATACACACATACACATTGATTTAACTGTGCACTACAGGGATCCATGCACACACGCTGACACTATAATAAACCAGTACCAGATTTATAGGTGTGAATTCAAGTAATAACTTATAATAAACTATAGGCTTATTGCATGTAGCTCTTCGTTCTTTCCTCCAGACTAAAGGTTTTTCTATAATCCAACCTGACGTCAATGCAAGCTGCAAAGAGAATGGCTTTACATTCTCACTGCTGTTTACTTTTCCTGATTTCTGTCTCCAGGCCACGGTCATGACAGCTCAGTGGAGCCTTTAACTAGCACCAGGACCATAGCAAGTTTAACTTTCACGCCGCTCTGGGACGATATCCAAGATTCTTGAACTTTCTCAATTCTGAAAAGATGAGTTGGACTGGAATGCTGAGAAACTATTCAGCATTTATTTTAGTGCACTTATTAAACAAAAGTAAATAAATAAGTAAATAAATAAAAAACAAGAGTGCCAACAAGAAAAAAAAGTAGAACATTTTGCATCGCAGCAGTGACTACAGTTATAACACAAGTTAATAACACTAATTCACTACAATACCCATAATACCAACAAATCCCTACGCATGATTGCAGTTAAACTCCAAGGTAAAATCACACACGTAACACTGAAAACAAAAGGTTTTATTCATTTACTCAATTAAGATTGGCTAATTCAATCAATTTTGTTTGTAGTATTTTTTTTTTTTTGCAAGTCTTAAGTGCCAGCTGAGTCAAGTCACAAGTCATTTAAGGGCGAGTCCAAGTCAAGTCATGAGTTGCAAGTCAACATGCGACTCAAGTGTGAGTTGCTATCTCTGTATTGTATTTTTAAAAAGAAAAGTGCTTAATAATGCTCGATAATGACCATATGATACATGGTGGTCATTGATTGTGTCGAGCCTTCACCTGCAGAATCCTGCAGCAGTCACAGCTCCTCTGTTTCCAGTCCAGGACATGTTAAGCCTCTGAAGGAGTGTGCAGCGTGGCTGCAGGTGTGTCAGCGCAGCATCGCTGAGGCGAGACCAGTACGGCTGTAGGCTGAGCTGGACATACTGCAGTGGGTCAGAACAATGCTGCTGCAGGAGCTTACAGCACTGACCCAAACGACAAAGATCAGGAACAGCCAGGTGACTTACAATCAACTGAATCAACTACAAACAGAGAGAGAGAGAGAGAGAGAGAGAGAGAGAGAGAGAGAGAAAGAGAAAAGAGAGACAGAGTGTGAGAGGTAAATGACATGGTAAAAAGACATGGAAGGGAGAGAAGGGAAGAAGAGGCAGCTTGTTACAAGCTTGACATCGTAACAACAGCAGAACCCTTTTGGTGCTATATAGAACCATATACAATGTATTCTCCAACAATCTAAAGAAAGTCTTCACCATGTAAAGAACCATTTAAGCATGTAAATGGTTCTTTGAGTGTTCATGGTTCTAATCTTTACTAAATAACCATTGAAGAACCATGTTTTTTGAGAGAGGAGGAAACTGTACTCACTGACACCCTGGTTTTCTTCATAATTTCTCTAAGGGAAAGACCTACGCTTTTAAGGGTTACAATGGTCTGCCTGTTTTCCTTTATTATCTGTCTTTTTCTCATCATTACAATAGCAATATACTACATCCTGCAGTGCAATGTTGTCCAAATACTGCCCTAAGGGCTTAATCTGTTCCAACACTGCTTTTATACACACAGAGAGCTTGTAAGTGATCAACAAAAGCTGGGACATCGTTGGGAATTGTTTCCATCAACTTTCAAAGCTTAACTTACTTCCATTACTGTAGAACACCTGAAAGTTGTTAAACAATGACTTGTTCCCTGAAAAACGCGTTTGAAATATACATTATTTTTCAGTTTTTTAACCTCTGGTAGTTTACTACTTACCTTTGTACCATTTCAAGTTATTCACTTCACCACTGCTTAAACCTCAATAAAAACTGGAAAAATGGAGGTGTTCTAAAACTTGACTATAGCACTATGGCTTAGTATTAATGAGAAATCAGAGGCAATGTGAGAGAACACACTCAGATCTCCTCCAGGTGTAGTGTTTATGTTGTTTATGTGTGTGTCCCCTTTAAAATGAGTGGGAGTGTGTCAAACTGAATATCAGCTGGCAGATAATGGCTGTATAGCATTTCACACACGCGTGTGCGCACGCTCAGAGTCTGACTGACATGGTAGAGATGCAGTGGTTTGGCAAAGACATCAGAGCTGTGCAAGCATAACACATCACACATCACACAGGTATTTCTAAATTACTCTACCACAAAATGACACTCTAATTATACAAACAAGATATCTGAAGAGCTCAAGCTAAGCACGATTCCTCCTTTCATGTCAAAAACATCTATGAGAGATGTACAAGGGCACTCTTTTAATACTTGTCTGGGAAAAGAAGAGATCTGGCTTCTTTTTTCTGTGTGATCTGCATAATGAGAGTCTGTAACATATTTAGTTTTACTTTATTACTATATTCTGCTGTACTATATATTACAGTGTAGTAGCTACTTTATTAGATATTGCTACCTTGTACCTACACTCATTGTTTATTTTATTAGAAACAACATATACATGCACATTACTGGTTTACAATTAAAAACTGCGGCTTTGAGCTTGATATATTTGTCCGAACCCAACAGGACCCATCTGCTCATGTCGGTTTTGGTCAAATTTGGATATCATTTCTCAAATAGGTGTCAGGCTAGGGTTGGCTGCAAATTTCACATTCATGGTTTTTAATGTGGTATATTGAATCATCCACTCATGCTGTTGACAAAATTTAGCACAAGGCCCATGCTTGTGAGAAAAAGGAAGGGTATACATGCAGTTAGCGCAGCTAACAAGTATTCAGACACTTTTGTTTTTGTTATTTAATATACCTCCAGTGCATTTATCCATGTCAAACTTACACAAGATGTCTTTTGACTTCGTATTTATGAATACTAAAAAACAGTATGTGTTAATAAGTATAAGCAAAGAAGTAAAGATGGGCTTAAAAAACTAAACTGTTTGGGGAAAAAAGTACTCAGACATTACAAATGAATAAAATTAGTTTGTAGCAAAGCTGCTGTTGGCAGCTTTGAGAAGTCTACAGTAAGCAGTAATTAGCTTTTTCTTTTTCAATGTTGGAATACAGTATGTATTTGTAGGCATAAACAAAGATTTAAAACACAAAATTGATAGCACTTATGGTTGAATTTTGGCCCGTTCCTCTTGGTAAACCATCTTCAATTCCCCAAAGTTAAGAGAGTCCCTCTGTTGGATTCACAACTTCAAAAAAACCCATTAATTTTCATTGGGATTCAAGCACCTTCAAGTACCTTAACCGTTCTTAAGTTAGTCTTAAGTCTTAAGTTACTTTGGCTGTATGTTTGGGTAATTGTCTTGTTGAAACATTCAGTTTCTGCTGATGAAAATCAATTCTCGATGACATATGATGCCCCAATACTGTTTGCAGATAAGCATCCCCATAACATGATGCTCCCACCAGATCACAAGTGCCACCCATCTTTCTCCAAACATGACTGGCTGAGTTATTGCCGAAGAACTCTGTGAGACCAGTGTACATATTTCCAAAAGAGTTCTGATTTGTGTGATTTATTTCTATTTTTTACATATATGAATACTTGTTTCCTCTATCAATTTTGTGTTTTAAACCTTTATGAGCTATGAACACATACAGTTTTGTTCATATTTATAAATAAAAAGACAAACTCAATTATAAAAAATAAAGTCAAAAAACATGATCTGTGTAAATCTGAAATAACACTTTCACACTGGAAGTAAATTAAATAACAAAAACAAAAGTCTCTGAATACTTGTCTCCCCTCACTGTATATGTTTTAGGTTCTATGTAGAGACAGCATTTTAGGATTAAACAGAAGTAGGATCTCACTATATCAGTATTGCATAGCATGTTTATCCAGACTAAAAACATTTGAGACAACTGATTGTTTTATTATTATCATTATTTTAAATTATTTTTAGAGTAGTTATCTGTGATGCAATGACAGCTGTACATGTCACTACACAGCAGTTTAATCTGCGCTTTCAAGTTCAGAAACGTGAAATTTTATTAGTAACTTTAGATGTTTATGAGCCAGTTTGGGTTTTGGACAGAACTCTGGACAACAAAACTTGAAGATGTGGTTGGGGTCAGACTTGGATAGGAAGTTCTTATAGTGTATTCAGGTTTAAACAAAAATGGGAATGATGCTTGATAAGAGTGTTATAGATACAACAAATGTCTGTCACTTCATTTTAAGACGCTTTATGTCAATGTAGCATAATTTCTCAAAACATCTTACATTATATTGCAGTTACATATAATATTGCATCTTTTTTATAATTATCCAATTATTACTTTGGAAATACATTATTCAGTGCTTATGCATGTATTCCCTATGCAGACAGCCTCAAATAAACTGTTACCAAAATCCTTACTTGTGATTAGTCCTATATTGGCATTAGTGTGAGTGAGGCTGCATTTACCTCATAAGGTAGTTTATCAAAGTAGCCATTGCCAAGGTTGTGTTTGTGGTCAGCGGTGGCCGTCCTGCAGCACAGCGCCCCCCCGGTCTCACTCAGGTCCTCCTCACCGTCACTCAGATCACTTATGTCTATCATAGGCATCTTATAAAGCGCAAGGATGGGCCTTTCGCGAACCCCTCGCAGGACCACCGCGTCAAGCTCAGTGTAATAATCCAGCATAGAGCTATTCACTTCCAGACGCAGCAAGTTGGTGGGGAAGCTAATGGGCCGGATTGTGGGGGAAAACTGACGTGCCTGGGGGCTCAGGGCTTTGGTGGGCTCCCCTGACCATAACACCTCCCACCTACACACACACAAACACACACACACACACACATTTTATTTGTAATAATAACAATGTGAAAAATTTGATGATAAATGGACAAATTAAAAAAACAAAACAAAATCTTGTGCACTTAACTTCCATTCAAAGAACATTTTGTCTTAATGAAATTATATTATTAAATATATATTCCATATACAGACATATGTTGGCCTGCATATTCCCAGACCTGTAGTGGTTACCTGACATCAGCAGGTGGATTCTGTGTGAAAGGATTTAGCGAGCAGGCCAGGATTTGTACGATAGCGCCGGGGTGGTAGGTCTCCAGCACTTCCACAGCAGTGGGGTAGACTTGCTCCTCAAAGGCCAGCTCCAGGAAGTCTCGGCTGTGGAAGGATGGCGGTGTGCGGCGGAACGGTGCTAGAGTGCTAACACACTGATCCCACCAGTGTCCATACGTCCGAAAAACTGCCGTCTGGGTGAAGTCTCCCGTGCTGGGGTAGACGTTAGGCACCCCGGCCAGATTCCACATGGTGTAGGACATGCTGTTTTCACTGCCATAGTGCGAGCTGAAGTCTAGAACCTCTTTAGCATACTGTTCCACCTCCACAGTGACTGGCAAGGTAGAACGCTGGCCCAAATCGACGAGTGCACGGCGGCCACCCAGCGACTCTGCTCGCGACCCACTCCTGCACCGCCGCCGCAGACAGATATAGTAAAACATGCTGAGAAGAGTTAGCATAGGGAACATAGGTGCTGGGGGCCGGGGTGGGGGTGAGGGGAGGTTTCAGGGTCAGACAGCACTCCCTAGTGACTATATGGGGCACTCTACACCACACAGGCTACAGGCCGAGCCACATGCATGACCTGCGAGGTTAAAAAGAGAAAGCACACAAAACAGAGTTAGACTGGCAAAAACATTGCAACAAAACAAAGGCAAAACTGTACCTACTGCATCACCCTGCATCTACAAAATCAAATTTACAACAACACTGTATATCATCGGTGACAAAACCCTGTATCACCATTTTTGTAGTTTTACATCATTTGAAAATGCTGTATAGCTTTCACACTGTGTGAAACTTTCAAGAGGAAAAGAAAGGACAAATACAAGTGGTGCAAAATTGCTTTGAATTAAAATTTAAGGATGTTTTTTCCTATTATAATGTAACCATTTTGGGGATGCAGTGTTTTGTTCCAAAAGCGACAATATGAGACAATAAAAAAGTGAATACCCCCTTAGCTACTAATCACTTAACCAAATTACCAAATTAATTTGCTATTTGGGTTCAATTTCACTAGCCACATTCAGGCATGATTACTGCCAGACCTGTTGAGTCCTGACGTAAATCCGTGAAATTGATTGCAGCTGCTACTGCCGAGGGTGGCACAATCAGGTATTAGGTTTAGGGAGGCAATTACTTTTACACAGGTGATATAGGTTATGAATAAATCTTTATCTTCAATAAATGGAATGATCATTTAAAGGCTGTATTTTGTGTTTACTCGTGTTGTCTTTATCTTATATTAAAATTTGTTGGATGATCTGAAACATTTAATGTGACAAATTTGCAAAAATAGGACAAAATGGGTGGGGGCAAATACTTTTTCACAGCACTGTATTTTGGTAACCGCCAAATAATCACATTCATATGCATTTTCATAACCGAAAACTGCTCTCAGTTGCCGTGGAGTGAAATCAATTTGTGTAGCACATAATTACTGCGCTCTGTAGAATAAAGACATTTTTAAACATGTAAAATATCGAAAATCAAATTGAAAACCTCAAAATCTCAAACTCAAAATTTCAAATATGTGTAAAACTATGCTATAATAATAATAAGAATACTTTATATAGTTTCTAATAATTTATGTAGCACTTTCCATTTTAGTTATCTTAACTAAAATGTTACCTTAAAGTAGAAGTAAAGAGGTAGTAAATCTTTGGAAAGATTAAAAAACTGAGGCATAAGTGATTCTAGTGAGTTTGCAATAAACCTGCCTCAGCTGACCACAGTGGTCTGAATGGGCTTTAAAGCTTCAACAGATCAGTAATATAGAGAGCCATTCAAAGCTTTAAACGTTATAAGCAAGTCAATGCAAAACTTAATAGGAAGCCACTGTAATAGGCCAACTGAATAATGGAGTAATATGTTTAAACTTTCAAAAACATTAAGATAAATAATAAAATCTGCAGCCTTATTTGAAGTGGACTTCAGGACCCGACAGCAATTCTTCTGTTTTATAATAAGTTTATCAGGAGGAAGTTATTGGTCATCCAGACTTTTATGTCTGTAATACAATCATACATTATGTGTAACTATGTCATTGAATCTGGCTGGGCTGATATGTATTACTGAGCATCAAAAGAACAAAACAGAAACTATTCAGTACCTTCTATGAAACTAATAAGTAAATAATCTAGTTATGGCAGAAAGAATCTGGTGTGGCATTTCTATAGTACTACCACAGAAGGTACAAAACACCCTTAACTCTGGGGCTATAAAGGCAAATGTTCATCTAGCTGGCTAAACAAAGGTGTTGCTTTAAGTCTCTTTAAGCTCTGAGGTGATTTTCAATACAGCATGATGTACTGTTTATAATACTTAGATTACCTAGATTAAGGTCATTTATGTACGCAAAGGACACGGAATTATTTGGCTATTTATCAGTCAAGCAGACAGCTCACATAACAGCTCACATAACTATGTGGCTAGTTTAACTAACGTTACATCAGTTAGCCATAGCTAGCTCAGCATAAAGTGCCTTACACATCAAGATATGAGGACAGCTGGCTAGTATGAAATTGTTGGAGCTTTTTCAAAATATTTAAAAAACCATCAAGCACCACCATTGCCAAACAGGGTGAGCAAGTGTATTAAAAGCATTAAAACTTTGACTGACTGGTTAGATGTCAAGGTGTCAAGCGCAAAATACAAATACAAACGCAGCCAGCACCTTTAGCTTGCTTGTTATGCTAGTTAAAAAAGCTAAGCTGAGTTAACGTTACCGCAAACACACAGACAGAGAGACTGCAGGAGTCGGCGATGAGGCTCGAATCTACATGTTGTCATGTAGCTAGATATGTTGCTGAAATACTGAAACAACCGAATAGACCGAATCCTGAAATGTTAACAAACCTAACTACAAGGTTAAAATATAAGATATCCGCAGCCTTTGTGTCTCCGTTGTGCAGCTTTGGAGTGCAGACACAGCAGAATCTCAGTAAACAACCTCTCACACCAGGCAGAATGAAATCACAGCTATTTACAGAAACAAGACAACAACTTACACAGGATCAGATGGCGAGTGTGTGTTAGGAAACCGTCCCGCGGCCATCGGAGTGTGTGTTTACTCTGGACGGCAACATCCGGCTACAGGGCATTGTGGGTATTGAAGTTCATCTGTAGAACGTGAGACTACAAAAATGAAACAGCGATCAATCGGTTGGTTTCTTTGCACTTTAGTCTGCTTTAATGTTAACAAACCTGACATCTGGGTGATATTTCACAGTTAGTTAGTTTGAAATGTTTTAGCAAGAAAAACAAGAAAATAGACAAATTATTCCTCGGTCTGGTAGGAGTTTTATAGGCTAATCATGGTACATGGTTTAAATGTATAGCTACTAGCTTCTTAAAAATGAATGCTCAAGTTGGTTTCTGCCATCTACTCGCTCTAGTGTGTATTGGTGTGTGTATGTGATCTTTTCATGGTTTTCTGTATTTCTTCAAGTAAACACTGCTTTGCTCTATCTAGCCCAACCATAACCTTAAAGGTGTACACTCTAGCCAAAATGAAAAATGTGATCATTGCTACATTGTATCCTATAGTGGTGCTGCTGTACCCTCTAGAGCAGATCCTGGAGGGCTGGTATGTATGTAGGCGTGTATTATTAGGGGAACTACCCAACTGTGTTGGACACCCTGCACAAAAAACAGCACAGACCAGCAAGCGTTTCATACCGCTCTAAGCTGATTATCCATGTTGTATCAAGCCTTCAGTACATTATTGACCAAAACTAGCATGAGGATTCAATTGAGATTCAATTGTGGTAACAGCAAAGAGACTACACAATGAACTGCTGTGATCTGACCACAGACTGGACTGCCTGCTATGTTATACCTCTGTGCAAGACACTACGCTAAGGTCATTCAGAGTGACTTTGACTTCTTAAGATGTTCAGGTATGAAGCACGCACACTATAGGCAAACATACAAGATAGATGTGAAATATAAACATGAGAGTTTATGAGAATAATTAACAGATCAATGTGCAGAGCTCTCTAGTTGACTTTTTTAGCGGTTGAGTGAGGAATGAATAGTAGTTAAAAGGTTTTATACTGTGTTGACAACACATTACCTGTTTCAACCAGTATAAGAAGATTCACTGTTAACTATCACATGATAATGTAACATAATTCAGAAACCAACTGGTACTTAGGCTGTATCATGTTACATTAACTGTATGAGTAGCTTACCTTGCCTTTAGCTGGGTTTTGGTAGAGACAAACTCTGATGCTTCTGCAGTAATCACTGAGGAAGACCATGAAGTAAGAGAAAAAAAAAACAGACAAGCAGAAAAGTAAATAAAATAAATGTGCAAATATTATCAGATTCAGTAGTTATAGTAGCAGTTTCTGTATTTCAGAAAACATTTTCATGCCTGCTGTGGCAACTTGCTTTAGCATATGATGATTAGGTTTAGGTGTTCAAGTTTGCTGTGTTGTTTTTCATCGCCTTTGTACATCTCAGCTGTCTGATTTTAACATACTAATTATGTTATCTTCACCGGGCACATGTTGTGTCTGTGGTGAGCCCATGCTTTATTCTGATGTGTGCTGTTTGTTAGTGAAGGGAAATGTTTCATTTATATGAATGGAACATTCTGGTTGATGTCAGTTGACACAGTCTTGCTGTTTTGTATCAGGATGGAGGTGCTAGAAAAAGTATAATGCTGACTGCCAAGTTGGCCTACCCACTTTTTTACAGGCCTACTCACAAATGTATTTCTGCCTACAGGAGATGAGGCTTAGGGACATAGCGCTGTGCTACGGAAGACTGCATAAAATGACAAATAACATTAACTGCTAGTTTTAGGCTGGGATGCCAATTTAACCTCAGCATCTAAAAACCTTTGGAGGTTTATCCTCTGCCAAATGTCCCCACCACATCAACATGTTCATGCAATGTAGATAAACACACACAGAGAGTCAACAACAACAACTTTTTTCAATCAAATGTCTCTTGGCTATGCTAACAGCTTAATATGTGGCCCACCACATGCCAGGAAGAGAGATATCATTATTTGATGTGCTGAATAAAACATTTGTCCACTAGAATTAACTGAGAATGTGATAATTGTGACATTTATTTTCTCATAAATGGCCGTTCCCACCTGACCGGGCTCTCCATGGACGCCTGTTCATCCCGGGCACACTCCAGGCCACAGCGCTTTGAAGGAGAAAAAGCATTTTGGCTGGCATTTTCAACGCTGAATGACTTGTCCAGCCACTTTGTCTCTCTGATGAATTGAGGGTCCATTGTCATATAAAGAGCAGCCGGTCTCTGCGGAGGCCACAGTGACTGTCCGGGGGGCCAAGCACTCATTAGCAGACGAACTGTGAAGAGAACAGGGCAGGATAATTGTCTTTAAATAGCAGGGCTTTCTTTCACTAAATCCATCTCTCTCTTTCACCAGCAAAAAAAAATCACACTAGTTCTCACTACAAAGTCTGTTTATGTGTCATGAATGCATAATTTTCATAGACATTGAATCATTTGTGTGGATTTCTCCATAGTGTGATAGATCCTTTAAACATTTTCATTGCAGCATTAATCCAAATAGCAGTGGCTGTTAAAACCTCAGGATAAATCTAGGCCTGAAATAAAAGAGGTCATATATTAAACCATCACCAACCCAACTGCTAAACCAAAACACAAGAGAGACCTAGACAAGGTGGCAAAGATTGACTTTCATTTTCTATCTTTGTTTTACTCAACTTGATTTAGCCATCTTAAATTTAATATGTTCAGGAAAAGCACTGCTTGGGTGTTGATGGTGAGCCAATATCCCAGTAATAAAACAGCTCATACAAGAATGTAATGAATTAAAAACATATTATAGTCTTTTTTTTTTTTAAATATAATGCCACATATCAATAATAATATATTTATGTTTTATTATGGATGCCTGGACATATAGAATAATTAGGATAAATGCATAAGCATTATTAATTGTAATCTACAGAACCTGCATAACACTAAATGCAGTGATATACACTTATGTTACAGGTTGTATAGTTCATTGCTTACTATTCATATACATGTACTCTTATGATACATTATGTACACCATGTGGACACCTTCTGCAAAATACAGAAAACATGGAACAGCCTTGTTCAGTTGTTATGCTTCTAAGCTGTGGAACTCAATTCCACCTTTTATTAGACAGTGAAGCTCAGTGTTCACTTTTAAGAAGCATCTAAAAACATATCTCTTTAACGTCTTGTGGTATTTATCTTTTAATTTGATCTGTGTCGTTTTCTTATTCTAATTCTTATTCTAAATTAATGCTTATAATATCTAGTATAACTGTTTAGTTTATCACCTGTCTCAGGTGCCACCGGCATGAAAAGTGCTACATTAATAAAAATGTATTGTTATATTATTATGATTATTATTATCCCTAAAATTGGACTATAACCTTTATGTTATGTGAATGTTCTTTGAACTTTAAAGGGTTCTTTACATTAACACATCTCTTTTTTAATCGTGGTTATTTTGGGTAACCAAAATGGGTCTTCTATAGCAAGAGAATGGTTAGTGGCACATTTTTCGTAGTCTACATACTTTATACACATCACATTTATTCACACTCATGGACACTCCAAATGTTTGTGTTATTATTCATGTAGACTTGAATAACAACATGGTCTACATGAAGCCTTGATAAAGATTTCATTTTCCAGGCAAAATAAATGCTTGTCTCAGATGGAAAATAAATTTTAATAAAAGTCTAAAGACTAATACACAAATATTCCTGGAGAAATGTATGTATTTTTGTATGCCAAATTTTATGCTTGAATTTTTTTTTTATTTTGGCCAAAAAACAATAACAAAAACAATATTTCATACGAAGAATACACTCCAGGGCAAAAAAATAGCCGAGCCCAAAATATAATAGTTTTTTCTGATTATTTTGGCCTGGTCAGAGTCCAGATTTAAACCCTGGGAAGAATATTTGGTCTCACACTAATTAAAAAATTAAAACTAGCTCTGCAAAGTTTTTCAAATGTTTGGAACCATCAATGCTGATTGGAAAAATACTGACTCTTCTTTCTGTAAAAAATTGTCTGCAAATTTACAAATTTGCACAAAAAACTTCAACATTTAAACACATCAAAGGGAAAAGCTATCCCATATTACCTTACTTACTCTATTTGTTTAGTGATGGTTGTTAAAGACCATGAAAAGCTTAATGTTTTGTGATTTTGGGCTTGGCCATTTTTTTTGTTTTTTTGTTTTTTTTTTGCCCAGGAGTGTACATACAGTGGAGTCCAAAATTCTGAAACCACATTGATTTTTTTTTCATTTAAACCTGAAAATAAACAACAGAAAGTTTTATAATCTTGAACATTTTAAAAATTCAAACTAAAATACAAAATAAATATTCAAACTTATCTACTATTTGGTCACTATTCAAATGTAAGCAAATTTGTGATACTGGTCATGTTAAAGCCACTGTAAAAAAGGTCAGATTTTTTTTGCACAAACTTGTGGAGTACATGCCAGCTCAAGTGCAGCTGTCACAAAAGCAAAAGAGGGATATACTGTAAAAATTCTTAAACATACAAAATAAGAAATTCATGTGAATATTTAAAGATTATACTTTTCACTCAAGTTATTATGCTGATGGAATCATTTGTAATCACAACTTATATTAAATTATGAATGAATGTAAAATAGAAGTGTTTTCACCAGTTGTATATGGCATACATATAATACATGAGATGCTTTAAAAATATGTGTGCTAAATATGTTTAATTGTGTCATTTTGTATTTAAATATACGCCAATATATGCTAATACATGGCAATATATTGAAATACATGCACATATGTAGATTAAATATAGGTAATACTGTGTTTTTTATATTTACATACGTTTCAAACATGCACAGAAATATATTACAAACTTGACACATATTTTGACAAATATATGGAAATATATTTTCTTTGGACATGGGATAACTATAATCAAATATAACATTCCAGAATT